GATAATTATTTGAACATTTTCATTCCTATTATAATTTATTATGGAAATTTATAATTAATAATTTTTTTCTTTTTTTATTATTTGAATAATCAATGGAATTAAATCATTAAATATTTTTTTAATTAAACGGCTTACTAGTTATTTCGAGTGAAAAAAATATTTTTCATAAATCTTTCTTCCGTATTTCGAAATAAAAACAAAAAGAAAGAAAGATCAAATCAGTATCAAATGAGACAAGCAACCGCGATCAAATGAAACGCGTGGCCGTGCAGAGATGAATCGTGGTAATTGATCGGGAGCCTCGATTTCGCGTTAGTTCGGTTACGGGCTACATAGATATGTAACGGGTGTCACGATTGTGCCGACTGGCACGGAAACGACCGGTAATTCCGTCGCGGTAATTAAATCAGGTAATTAGGACAGCCTCGGTGGCACGGTGAGCATCGCGTTCTCCCTTCGATGAGTCGTTAAACGTCGCCGGCGAGCGTCGTTATTGTCAGTTATTACTGTCAAACTTCCCGGGGACGTACGTGTTTCCTTGATATTAACGAGACGCTTTATTGACCTATCTCAGAGAACAGCTTGTCGCACGACCGATTCTATTTCTGAATTTACGTGATCACACGGCACGACGAACTTGTCTTTGTCGTTTAACATCGATATGCGATATGTGGCTAATAAGTATTTGAGATAAATGTATCGATTGATGAGACAAAAGTTAAGTATAAGGGTTATATTCCGCTAAATGATGATTATACGAAATTTTTATTAAATTAAGATGTGATGCTCGGTTGATTAATATTATCGAAATTATAAATTCGGACGAGATCGGACGAGATCGGGCGGAATCGGGATATAATCTCCGAACTTCTCCGAACTTTTCCGAACTATCCCGAAGTTCGAATTTTTAAATTATGTATACATAATTCACAAGTTTGGGTACTTTTCAATATTTCATGTGCCATTAATTAAAGAAACTGAATAAGATTTTTGTTTCGCTATATGATAAAAAAACTATTACGTTGAAATTTTATACAGATAATTTTGATTCGATACGAATTAATTTAATTTACTTGAGTGATCACAAGTTACGATATATGTTGAAACTGCAATAAATTTATAGATTAATATCAATAACTTCGACTTCAATATAACGAAATAGAACATATATCTCAATTTCGCAATTTCGAAGTAGCGATTCAAGGGCTATAAAAATAAATTATTGGTACACATATCGAAATTCCCAATAATTATTGTTCCACTTTTAACTATATTTCTTCCCTCGAGGAAAACTTCTAAACGCTCTTTCTCTCGCACGGAAAATTTTCACGTGGGTCGAAACGAACCGATCTTAAGCAACAGAGACACAACGAAACGGCAGCAACAAAAAGAAAACAAGACGGAGAACGATTTTTTTCTCCTTGGTTGAGACGCGATCACGTGAATATGTTTATGCGCGCAGTTCATGCGGAGATTTATGCCGACATCGATACACCTTTCTCCCCGCATAGAAATGTTAGTAATGCAGTCCACGTAGCGCCGTGAGGTATAACGTATTGTCATTAATGAATCGGGCTAAGGGATCAGCATTTCATTTTTCCGGGTGGACGTTTATGTTCCTCGAATTGACAGCCCAGTAAATCCCGAACGAATTTTCTGTCAACCGTTTGTATACTCGTGTTCCTTACGTGTGCGAAAAGGTCGCGGCGGCGAGATTTGTTCGCAGCCGCTTCCAGGATCCGGCTTCGAACGGTTTTACGGACCCTTACCAGAAATAGATAACAGGACAGAGACAGTGCCCAACGAGTTGTGTGTCTATTTTAGACCCGACTTATGCGTCTCGCTATGTCGCAAAGGTGCTCGTTAATAACAGTACGTGCTACATTGTTTCGCGTTATAAATACTCTTATCGGCATTTCTTGACAAAAAAATTAAATTAAAAGTTTAAACAAGAATCTTTCCCATGACTCGAAGAGAAAAAAAGAATCGTCTTCTTAATTTCTATCTCCTCAAAAATTTATCAAGCATATTATATTTTATCATATTCACATAATAATAACCTAATAATAAAAAATTAAAAAAAATTCGTAACTAAGAACTATTTTTAAATTCAATAATAATAATAATAATAATAATAATAATAATCGTCCCACAGGGAAAAGAGAAAAAAAATATTACATCCTCTCAAAAATCAAGAACCAAGACAATCGATGATTTCACTCTAACAAGATCCCATTCTACGCGGTGAAGAGAGAATCCAGAAGAGGGGAGGGGGGAGGGGAAAAATTATCGC